CCCAAACCCCTGCACCTATCTCCTTGAAACTTGGCAGCTTTGTGGCCTCTACAGGGGCTAGCATCCCTAGAATTTTGACTCCACTGTGGCTTAACATGTACACGTGACATGTTTTGCTTTCAAGAGTTTGGGGTGTAGTTGCTCCCAAACCCCTGCACCTATCTCCTTGAAACTTGGCAGGCTTTGTGGTCTTAGAAAGAGCTACCATCTCTAAGGTTTTATCCCACTGTGGCTTAACAAACACACACGACATGAGTTCTGCTTTCAGAAATTTGGGGTGTTGTGGCTTAACAAACACACATGACATGAGTTCTGCTTTCAGAAATTTGGGGTGCAGTTTCCCAGGAACCCCTGCACCTATAACCTTGAAACTTGATGTACGTCATTTCCTTAGCAGAGGCTACCATCCCTGCAAGTTTCATCTTAATCAGCCAAACAAAAACAAAGTTATAGATATTTCATTGATTCCCCATTATACGCTATGACTGAATCTCCGAATCTTTTCCAAATCGATTCAGAAAGCCTAAAGCTTCCCGCAATTCGATTCAGATTAGTAGATTCGGCTTCTGAATCATCCAAATCATCTCTGAATCAGAATCATGATCCGAAGCTTTGCACAACTCTAGCAAACAGACCTCTCTGGTGTCTGAGCTTTCTTAAAACTAAAAGTAGATTCGGCTTCTGAATCATCCAAATCATCTCTGAATCAGAATCATGATCCGAAGCTTTGCACAACGCTAGCAAACAGACTTCTCTGGTGTCTGAGCTTTCTTAAAACTAAATCAGAGTCTTCAGTTCTGGTACAAATGTAAAAACATTGGATCAGAAAGGGCTCCCTCAGTCAGAGTCCAGGCCCAGCTATGGCAAGCAGCATGCACCCAATCTGTCTCCTGCGTTGATGAAGTTTATCTTTAAACATTGTAGGGTTTTTCCCTTCACGGTACTTCTAGAGGGAATCTATTCCAGAACTTCACTCCCTGGATGATTAGAGACCCTCTGCTTCCCAACCTACAGTTAAACATGGCAAGTTTATCCATATCCAGTATGATCCTTTAGCTCTGGAAGATATCCTCACTCTCTGGCATGTTTAGCAGAGCCATTGACCCCTTTCAGCCAAATGTAATTCATCCAACCCCTTCAACCAAGCTTTTTGGTCTCTTCTCATCTGACAGCCTCTCCATCTCCTGATCATCGCTGCAGATTATTTCTGTCCCTGTTCCAATGTGAGATCCTGCCCACAGGTGACTAGAACTGCTTGCAGTGTTCCATGCCCACTGTGCTTTGTACAATCCCTATTGTCCCTATTTCTCCTGGAAATACCTTAATTTATGCACACTGTGCTGGCTTATTTGTATTCATAGAAGTAGAACTTGAAGGATATGGTTTACAATATGAAAGCAGGGTGCTCAGTTATGCCTCCAAGAAATAAAGTGCTGTCCCTCTGCTCCTATCATGCACATCCAGTTCCTGAAGAAGGTGGTGAGGATGCCCTGGGTACTGCACTTAACACCTGGGTTTCCAGCTCACTTGAGCAGCAGTTTGGGGCCTACTCAGGAGTGAATCCAGGATGCATCAATTTATTGCTCCCAGTCTCGCCCCTTCTTCTCCCCAACCTGTGTGGGTAGATGGGGCCTAGAGCCTGTGGTAACTTTTAAAGTCCCAAAAGCAAGTAAGAATACACTTATCTTCTTCATAGTTAAAGGCATGTCCCCTTCTCTCCCCTCCCCCTACTGCTACTACTGCTTCCCCTGCTGTGCTAGGGTGGGGGAAGCTTCAAAGCCCCTCATGTCTTCCCCAGCCAGGCTATTAGCTGGCTGGGTTCAGCTGGGACAGTGACACTGGTAGCAGTGGAAATGGGTAGGGGAAGTTTCCCCCCGCCCACGCTGACCAGTCCCACCCCCAGAAGCAGGCATGGGAAGAGAGATCCTTCTTGCTCATTGCTGCTGCTGCTATTCCCAGTTGGGCCTATCCCTGTGCAGCCCGGCTAGAGCAAGCAGGAATCCTGACTAAACTGTCACACCGGATTTGAAACTTTCCCAGCCCTGGGACAGCAGGGAAAGCAGTAGCAGCAGGAGTGGGGGGAGGGGGCCAACATTTCTGGGGATGAATGGCTTGAACTGGTAGATGGGACTTATTCCCATCTAGGGTTGTGCAAGGCTTCAGACCATGCTTCGGATCCAAAGCAACATGTCCGGATCAAAGCACGAAAAGCTTCGGAGGCACCTCGGAAATCCAACCATAGGGTATAATGGGGAATCAATGAAATATCTATAACTTTGTTGTTTTTTATCCAATTTGGATAAAACTTGCAGGGTGGTAGCATCTGCTGAGAGCATGAAGCCTGCCAAGTTTTAAGAAGATCGGTGCAGGGGTTCGGGAGGAACTGCACCCCAAATTCTTGAAAGCAAAACTCAAGTCACGTGTATGTGTTAAGCCACCGTGGGGTCAAAACTGCAGGGTTGGTAGCCCCTGCTGAGGCCACAAAGCCTGCCAAGTTTCAAGGAGCTAGGTGCAGGGATTTGGGGGGAACTGCACCTCAAGCTGCTGTCAGGCAAAACTCATGACATGAGTAGTTTGTCAGGGAGCAGAATCTAAACACATGCAGGTCTCTCCTCCAAGACTTCCTAAAAAAAAAAAAATCTTGTGTGTCATGAGTTTGGCCTGAGCTTTGGCCAGAAGGTGCAATAGAATTGCACCTGGTAGACTAAATACATCAAAGATTTTGACAGTCATTAGCTGTGTGCAAGGTACTGGAACAACTGTATCCCAGGGTCTGAACAGTTGGAAATTTCAAAGTTGTGTTCTAGTATTATCAACTGGTCTGTCCCTGGAATCATTCACTAATGAAAGGAAGTACCCCTTCCATCCTAGTCCCATGTGCTCCTACCTTCCTGCCCCTGTCTGCCAATCCATATATTTCCACATGCACTCTCAAACCCACCTGTCTGTCCATCCATTCCTATCTCCTTAATATTGGTGATAAAGGTCTTGTGATTGACTTATACATAGAGACATGTTTCCCAAGTGATGATGACACAGTTGTATTCAAGCATGCATACATGGATTATCTTTTATTGAAATCTCATTGCATTTGCATAGCTTTACCGGCATGTTTTTGAATATGAATATGGTGAGGTATTGCTAATCTTGTGTCAGGGAGATAGACTAGAGGAGTTCTTGACATCCCTTCCAACCCTCTTATGAGCAAAGTTAGCGTATTAGTGACACACTGGTTAGGGAACCTGATTTGTGAATGATATCTTCAAATAAGGAGAGAAATGGACAGAGTTTCACAGAGAAAGCAAACCAAGAAAGAGAAATGTACAGACACCGTCTCACTAAGAAGTATCAGTGGAATCTGTCCCCATTTAAAAGCTTGGGAAACTTTCCCTATTGCACTTCAGTGCAATAGGGAAAGTTTATTCCTTTTATTATCTATTTGACATTCCTGTTTGAGGGCAAGAGGCTTTTTGGGCTTTTTTTAGTGTGGAGGACAGGGACAACCATCAAATGTATTTTTGTACAGCCTGGCTAGGAAAATGTACTAATGTGCTGGAATGAGCTTGACGTCTGGGGACAAGGTACCATGGTGACTGTAACCTCAGGTAGGTGATGTGCATTCTTCTCTCTCCAGTGCTGCTAGCATGTGTGTTCCTCCAATATTTTTCTATAGGCAAAAAAGCCATTTTGGTTTTCTCTGTGATCAGAATTACTAAGAATGCAATATTCTAGCCAGAAGGCTCAGAAACATCTCTGTTACAGAAGGTACATCGGCTAATAAGGTCTTGAAAATGAGGCTTGATTTAGAAATTAAGGTTGGGATTTTAAAATGAGCCAAAGGGAGTTAAGGATTTATTAGGGGGGCACTTCAGGTAAGGCCATAAACCTCTAAATATGCTCATCTCACCTAGGAATTGATAAAGTTCCTTAAGATGTTGGAGCTGCAAGAAATTTAGTTGTGGGACCCATGTGGTTATGGTATTTAGAAGCAGGTTAAAAAAGTAAAGTAATAAGGGGAAAATAATACCAACAAGTGGCATTGAGATAATATCCATCATCTCAGCATAAAAGATGATAACATGCCAGGATATTTGTACTGGGGAAATAGGTAGTAGTGTCTCTGTGCAACTGGTATTTTGACTACTGGGGACAAGGAACCTTGGTGACCGTCACTTCAGGTAACTCTTT